ACGCCAATTCAAATCGGGCCGCGCGAGCGACGGCGAAAACGTGGCCGTTGTTCGATTCGTTGCGTTGCCGACCGGCGCGGGCTTTCGCCCCCTCCCCCCCCCCTTTTCTGGAGTAGATCTTGGTTACGTTTTGGCTCCTGCTTCGCGCGGGTGGGATCTCTCCCGGAGGGCGCGCGGCCCCAAACAGTCGCGCTAGGCAGAGGTCCGGAGCCAGACCCCCCCCCTACCGCCCAATGTCGAAGCGCCGAATAATAAAAAAACGCTCGCAACCGACAGCCGCCGCCGAACCGAATGCAGAAGACACCGAGCACGAGGCCTTCGCGCCCAGGCGCTTTGCTGATTCGCCACAGCAGACCGCGCTGCGCTTTCCAATTGGAGGCCGCCACGAGACACAGCGATGCGCATGCATTGGTTGGTCTCGACCGCTTCGCTGGCGCCACCATGGCTTGCCCAGCGGCGCGCGAGGACGCGGGGCCCCCCCAGGCATCCTTCCTGCAGCTTCTTGCCCCCAGCGGAAAACTCAGGCGCGTCTGCGCTGGCTACCCCCGGCGAGCTCATCAAGGCTTGCCACAAGCTGACTTACATAGCGCCACGACACCAGCATTCCATATCGGCTACAGACCATGGGTTGGCCGAGAGAACGGCGAAGCGCGTCGTTAGTGGTGCCGAACACGTGCTGCGCGCGTCCTGACAGGTAGACGATTGGTGGGAAGAAGTTCTGCAGTGCCACTGCTGCGCCGACGTCTCAGCCCCCGCGACCGGCATTTCTGGCAGCGACGCAACGAATATGGCGTCGCAGCCCGCGAAGCACATGGGCGGCGAACGCATCCATGCTCGCGCCGCGCTTTGCGACGCACGCGCGCAGTGGAAGCGCCCATGCGCCGAATTCAACAAGGGCGCCGACCATGTTGAGGGGCGCGCCCGCGAAGGTTTTCCACGGGGCACCACCTTCACTCTGGTGACCGATGGTCGGGCGACTACGTGGTCACCGACGCGGCAAGTGCCCCGACGATTTTCTTCGCCGTGTTCACCGCTGCGTGAATCTCGTCATCCCAGACGCGCGCGCGCCCTCCACTCAGCGCAGTCTCCCGCGACCCCGCAGCCCGATGGGCACGGCGCCGCGGCCGCCGAGGCCGCGTGACCACTCGGCGAACCGACGCTCTCTTCGCATGCCCGTCGAGCCGTGGCGACCCAAGTGTCGCGCGGGAGGAAATGCCTGCGGGTCCCACTGACGCGCAGAGCCCACTGGACTATCGGGAACTGCGTGGGGCATATCACGCACGCGTCACGTGCACGCCCCGCAGCAAGATCTTCATGCCAATCGACGACACTGTTGGCCCATTCATACCTGCCGACAAGCAGGACGCGTCGCGATCTGCGCAGACGAGATCACCCTTCGCTGGAATATCAGATTTCCGAGATGCATGGGACGGAGCGAGTGCCAGCGCCCACCAGGCCCTCAGCGAGCTTTGACTGGCGAAATATTATTCGGAAAGCTCCGGGAGAGAACGGCGGGCGGCAGGAACAACGTCATGGGCCGCGGGGCTAAGATGCAGACCGCTGACCGACCCAGCTTGGAGTGTCACGTTTCAAGCAACGGCGGGTTGAAACTCTCATCGCCAAGAATTTTCTCGCGCGCGCGAGGTTCGTCGTCGTCCGTCGAGCGCTCAGAAAACCGCGGGGCCTGATCTCGGCATCGCCAACGAGCTATCCGAGACCTGCTCAATGCGGAGGGGAGCTTTTGCAATGACAGTCTTGCCTGCTATATGACCATGCCGAGTCACCCGCGCTCTCACCAAAACAAAAAAAGGTCGCCGCCGTGGAGTCCCGCGATCAAACGACTGTCTATAACGGGCGAGCGTTTGGACGCAAGAGACTGCAACGGAGAAAGATGACATTTGGCTCGGGCAGCGCGCGACGGCCTCACTGTTCATGTTGGCACATTACTGAAGCTCTTCCCCGTCAAACATTCGGAGTTGCCCAGCGACCATCATCGAGCAACAGAAGTTCAAAGGCCGCGTCGTCGCACAGGGCGACAACATGAATGACGAGAGCGGTTTGTCCGCCGCGATCGCCGATGTTGCCCCCAGCGCCTCGCGCATCGAGGCCTCCAAGATTTGCGACGGCATCAAGCGTGCGACCCAGCAGTGGTGGCGAAGAGAGTGATGCTCCAGGAGCCTACACACATGCACGTGCATGGAGACGGAAGGAATCGACCTTCTGGACACATGGATCTCATTACCGCCCATCCGTCGCCCATCTCCCTGGGCAAAGGACGACCGATCATTGCGCCGCCTACGACTGGCACTCTATGGCTACCCGTTGGCAGGAGTGTTCTGGGAGCGCCATTGCCGTACATGCTTGGAAGCAGTCGGCTCCATCCCCACGCAGAGTAGTTGTGAATGTCATTGCACGCGCCCCGACTTAAGTTTGGCGCTATCTGTTTACAATGACGGCTTCAAGACGGCCAGGCCCAATAATATTTTGACCGATTGACGGGACCTCATTTGCTAAAGCGGCACCCAGATTGTTCCACCTACCAAGGTTGACCAATCTTTTGGGCTGCGGCATATGACTCCGCGCCATCGCTGACGTTGAAAAACAATCCGACGACCCCTTTGTCCCAACCATTGCTCATCCGACGACAGAAAAGCGGAAGGCGCACGCGGCGTCCGACACGATATTGATGGTTTGACCGACGCATGTGTACAATGCTACCTGGACGTTGTCGCCACGCTTTCTACCAACCCAGAACTGCACAAGGACCTACCCCACGTCGACACACCAGTCATCGAGGACATGTTCTTCCCAAAGTCTTGGGTTCGATGGTAAATTGGATCCTTGGTCTTGCGGCGGCTGGGCCTGGCGGCACGTGGTCAGCAGTGCACTTGTGTTTTTCCCAACCATCCTGTGGTGTTAAGCCCTCATTTTGAAGAGACAGCGTCCCGCGTCTCCTTCCTTCCATCCCGCTGCCCTATCCCCACTCCTCCTGCTCCTACTGCTGCTCTTCAAATGTTTGTTCCGACGCATCACTCACACGTTTCGTGGCCCCGTAGGGAGCTTTACCCACCGACCCAGTGGCACAGTCCGCACGCGTCCCCCTTCCCATATCGGCCCCCTTACAAATTTTGTGGCCCCATAGGCAGCCCCACCCAATGCCCCAGTGGCACAATCCGCAAGCGTCCCCCCCGCCCATTCCAGCGCACCCCTTTCACGTTTAGTGGCCAGTGGCCCCATAAAAGGGTTCCACCAAGGCCCCAGTGGCACAGTCCGCAGGCGTCCCCCCGCCCGGTCCGACGCACCTCTCTTTCGTTTCGTGGCCCCAAAGGGAGCCCCATGGAAGGCCCCAGTGGCACAGTCCGCACCCGTCACCCTGCCCAGTCCGGCGCACCCCTTTCACGTTTAGTGGCACCATAAAGGGGGCTCCACCAAGGCCCCAGTGGCACAGTCCGGACGCGTCCCCCGGCCCATTCCAGCGCACCCCTTTCACGTTTAGTAGCCCCATAAGGGAGCTCCACCAAGGCCCCAGCGGCATAGTCCGCATGCGTCCCCCCGCACATTACGGCGCACCTCTCTTAGGTTTCGTGGCCCCAAAGGGAGCCCCAGCCAAGGGCAAAATGGCAAAGTACGCAGTACGCAGGCGTCCCCCGGCCCACGTCAGCACTCCCCTCACCCGTCTCGCGGCTTATATGGAGCATCCAAAACCCAATTGTCACAGTCCCTCGTGGCCCCATAGGGACCCCCACAAGGCCCCAGTGACACAGTCAGCATGCGTCCCCCTGCCCATTTTGGCGCACACCTCACACGCTTCGTGGCCCAATTGTGAGCTCCACCCAAGGCCCCAGTGACACAGGCAGCATGCGTCCCCCCTCCCACTCCGCTACGCCCCTCCTACGTTTCGCGACCCCAAAGGGAGCTTCACCCAAGGCGCCAGTGGTGAAGTCCGCACGCGTCCCCCCTCCCTTTTCGGCATAAGCTTCGCGCGCTTCGTGGCCCCATGGAAGCTCCTCCCTCATTCGCCCCACCTGCCTTGCGGCACTCACGACTTGATATGTTTGGGTCCTTCCAGGATGACGTGATGACTTTGTCAGCTGAATTCGTAACGAACGCTTGATCTCGACCACTTGAAGGCAGTCGTTGCAGCCGTGACGCTCGGCGGACGCTTTGACAGTAGTCTGCATCCAGTTGTCATCCCAGGGTAAGCTCGCGAACCAGATGTCGCACTCCAATTGAATACGGTAGCCCTGCACGTCTAAAAGTGTGGTGCGCTGGCCTAGCTACCTCGAGCCGATAGCTGCGGATATATTAGGGTGACCCTGGCCAACCAGACCGGCCTGGCATCACGCTTGGGGTGCACGCGGGCGCATGCAGTAGTTGGCGAGGTGGTAGGAAGCGAACGACGTATGCTCGACCCTCCCCCATCGCAACCTTTGTCCCAGGGAATCTATTTCGAGCTCCCTCGTGGGACGGCTCGCCTCGGAACCTTCCTGCGCGCCAGACGTGTCTTGTGCACGGCTGCCGCATCCCGACGCTCGCCGCCCCGCCCGAGCCGGTGCGGGAGCGCCCGCCCCTGCGCGCCGAGGACGCGCCCCGCCGCCCCGCCGTCCCTCGGAGGAGCGCCGCCTCCTCCTCGCGGTGCCCTTCCCCTCCTCCCCCTCCTCCTCCTCCTCCTCCTCCTCCTCCTCCTCCTCCTCCTCCTCCTCCTCCTCCTCCTCCTCCTCCTCCTCCTCCTCCTCCTCCTCCTCCTCCTCCTCCTCCCCTCCTCCTCCTCCTCCTCCTCCTCCTCCTCCTCCTCCTCCTCCCTCCCTCCTCCTCCTCCTCCTCCTCCTCCTCCCTCCTACCCTGTCCTCCTCCTCCTCCCTCCTCCTCCTCCTCCTCCCTCCTCCTCCTCCCCCTCCTCCTCCGTCCTCCTCCTCCTCCTCCTCCTCCCTCCTCCGTCCTCCTCCTCCTCCTCCCGACCGTGGGGCGAGGCCCGGGCCCGCGCCCCCCCGCCCTCGCAGGCCCTCGTCCTGGACCTCCGCGGCAACACCGGCGGCTACGTCTCGGAGCTGCTCCTGGACAAGCTGCTGCGCAAGCCCCTGGGGCTGCGGGTGCCCCGCGAGGCGGGGGGGGGGGCCCTCGCCTCCTGGCGGCCGCGAATCCTACCCCTACCCCCCACGATGATTGCGATGGTGCTCCCGAACGACGTGAACCCCACCCTCCCCCTCAGAAATCGTGGGGAGAAGGGGTAGGGTTCGCATGCGGCCCCCTAACCAGGGCAGGCCGAGAGGCGGGGGCGCCCGCCGCGGCGCGCGCCCCCCCGCACCGCGTCCGCCCGCCGCGGGGGGCCAGTGCCGTGCCCTCCTCGCCGCGTCCTGCAGGGTCGCCCCTGGCAGCTCCCTTGGCATCGCTCGGACGTGTGCATTTTTTCTCGGCGACGGCCATCGAGGACCGTCCTTGATCATTTGGCGAAAAAAACGCGCACGAAGTCGAAAAAGGGACGAGGAATGGACGTCCGAGCGATGGCGAGAGCAACCATCGCCACCGATCCGCGCGTCTCGGGCCCGCCTCGAGGGGCCCTGCGCGGGCCGATCCGGGCCGGGGAGGCCCGCTCCGGGACCTGCTCGGCCGTCTCTGCCTCCACGTGCCCCGGCCGTGTTCTTGCCGGTGCTTCGCCCCAGCGGTGTGTCACGACGTCGGACGTCGGGTGAGGCGGGCCCCCCGCCAGGCCCCCGCCGGGCCAGGTCCGGGCTTGGAGCTCTCGGAGGGCGTGGCCTGGTGGCCCGCCCGAGAGGCGCCGTTCGCAGAGGCCTGGGCCAAGATGGGGCCGCCGTTGCTTCCGGGGGCGGCCCGGGTCAGAGGCAGCGCAATGGGGGGAGAGTGGGCTCAAGGGGGTTAAGCTAATGAGGGAAAAAACACACAGACACAATTCATCGTCGATTCCCCAGAAAATATAGGAAAAAATGGGAGGTGGGGGGAAGACAAAAACCCAGAAAATATAGAAAATATGGTGCATCTTTTTATTTGTGTATTTATTTCTGTGTCCCAGGGCCCCTTCATAAGCATCCACCTCCAATCGCCCATTGGTCGCCGGTGGGGGCATGATGGCCCCCTCTGGCCCAGGAACGTCCGCCTGCGAGGCCTGTCTCCGATCTGTCGGCGATGCATCGCCGAGTCCAGGTCGATGTTCCCCTTTCTGTGCCAGTCTCCCTGTGACGTTCTCCCTCGCTGGGGTGGGGAGATCCAGGCATCCGATGCTGTTGTTGTGCCCATACGGGTCCCCCAGACTCCTCGGGGCCGGGTTCTCATCCTGGGTCGCCCCAGGGGAGGGGGCGGGACTCGCGCGCGCGGAACTCGCACGCACGGAACTCGCACGAGGCGGAGTTCGCACGACGCCGAACTCGCACGCACTAAGCTCACACGGAGCGGGACTCGCACAGGCGGAATTTGCACGCGGCGGGAGTCGTCCAGACGGAGATCGCACGCGCGGATTGCGCACGGACGGAATTCGCACTCGTGGATTTGCACGCGTTTTGAAGCTTCTCTGCGTTCGAGTTCCGCTGGTGCGAGCTCCGTCCGTGCGGGTTCTGTCCGTGCGAGTCCCGGCCATGCGAGTTTCGTCTGTGCGAGTGCCGTCCGTGCGAGTTCCTCGCGTACGAGTTCCGTGCTTGCGAGCTCCGTCCGTGCGAGCTCGGTCGGTGCGAGTTCCGTTCCGTACGAGTTCCGTCCACGCGAGTTCCGCCCGTGCGAGTTCCACGTTTTGCCGCTCCACGTGGGCGGGATGGAGGGACGGACCGAGTGCGGACGAGGGAGGAAAGTGGCAGGTGTCTGGATACCACGGTGCTCATTCGCTGCGCGGTGTTCCTTGCGGGGCGCCGTGGCGGCTGCTTATACGCGACGCGTGCAGAGTGTGGGATGGTCCTCGCTCGCCAAACTGTACACTGCCGTCCTCGAAGCTCTCCCGGTACTCACAGGCATGTTGTTGGTGCTCGCATTCTGAAGTTCGCAGGCTGTTTTCCTGCAGGAATCAAATTATATGGGCCCAACCTCCGCCACTCGATGTGCATTGTATTATGGATATGTGAGTTGCCAGTCTGTTCAGTTGCAACGCTGGGGCCAGCGCGTTCAGATGGGCGAGCAATGGCAGATGGCCTTGGCGCTGCTGAGAGAGATCCGGGAGGCTTAGCTGGAGCCCGAAGCTATCATCGTCCCTTCAATTCTGGGACAAGTGCGTGGGCCAATCGTTTTCTCGGCCTCCAGCGGCGTCGGCACTGCCTCCGGGTCCCCATGGGCTCTGGGTCCCCAAGATGTCGCAGAGACAGCCTTCGGTAATGTCCGAGATGGCCAGAATTGGCCCCGGGAGCCGCCAGAAAGGGCCCCCGAGAGATCTCAAGCGGCTCCAAGAGGCCTCCAAAAGGCACCTAGATGCCCCAAGAGGCCTTGCAGGAATTGTCCAGAAGACCACGGGAACTTCAAAGAATTCCAACACCCAAAGGAAGATGTATGTCTTGTGCTTCGCAGGCTTTTCGACGCGAGACAGCTCCAAGACGGCTTCGGGGGAGACTCTTGGCCTCCATGCGGGCGCCACCTTGGACCCTCTGGGGGCCCTCATCGAGCCTCCTGGGTTGTCTTCGGGGCCTCCTTGGGCCGTCTCGGTCCGTCTTCGGGCCGTCTTAGGGCCCTCTGGGTGGTCTTTGATTGCCTCAAGAGAGCCCAAGGGCGGCCCCGGAGGGCTCCCAGAATATGAAAGAAGGCTTCGGACAGCTTCCAGACGGCCCGACACGTCCTCCAGAGAACGCCACGACGGCCCAGCAGACCCCCAGAGAACCCCGAGACGGCCCAGGACGGCCCCAAGAGGGCCCAACGAGGCCCCCAATAGTTTCGGCCATAGGGCCCCCCAGCACGGGCTCCATATCCTGCAGCACACAAGCCAGCAGCGGGAGCAATTAGTAGCTATCAGCAGAAAACAAGCAGCCGCTGCATTACCCGCGGCCGGCTGGCGGCCATCCCCGCTGCCGTGGCGTGAGGCAGAGGGTCAGTTGCGACCGCCAGGCCTGCCAGCATGCTGGCAGTGACGTCGGGAAGACAACTGTCTGGCTAGCAGCGATGCGTGCAGAACAGGCAAGCAGGCAAGCGATCTCAGCTTCTGCACGCGGGCAGGTTGCTAGTCGTGTTGTCTTCAGGAAGGTTGAGAGCCAGACTGGGCAATTTCTGAACGAGCGAGCTGATCACCTGGCCGACTGTGGTGCCTCTGGAATCTTACGTGACCCGGCTAGTGTACATCGCTGGGCGAGCTCTTCGAGTTAATCTGTGGCTTTCCGAGGTCAGGCAGCCCCTGATCATTTTCAACATAAGCTGTTGTGGACGTAAGTCCACGGGTCAGCTCTAGTCAGCTACCACGCTGGGATCAGCGCGTGCGGGAAGGGCGAGCACTGGCTCCCTGGCTAGCTTGAGCCGAGAGCTGCAGATATAGGAGGGCACCCCTGCCAACCAGACCGGCCCGGCATCACGCTCGGGGTACACGTGGGCGCATTCAGTAGTTGGCGTGGTGGCAGGGAGCGAAGAGTTTGATGTTGACTCCCATCGCTTTGCTGTGATTTGCATTGCTTTGCAGTGCGCTGCATGGTGTTGCATCACTTTGCGTTGCCCTGCATTGCGTTGCGTTGTTTTGGGTTGCTTCGCGCTTTGTTGATTTGCCTTGCGTTGTGTTGCGTTGCGTTGCTTTGCATGACACTGCTTTGCGTTGCTTTGCTTTGCTTAGCGTTGCATTGTTTTGCGTTGTTTTGCCTTACGGTGCGTTGCAGTGCGTTGCGTTGCTGTGCCTTGCGTTTCGTGGTTTTGCGTTGCCTTGCATAGCATTGCGTTGCATTGTTTTGCACTGCGTTGTGTTACTTTGCATGTGTGTGATTTACTTTGCGTTGGTTTGCATTCCTGCGCGTTATCTTGCATCGTTGCATCCTGCGTTGCATTGATTTGCGTTGCATTGCGTCGCCTTGCATTGCGTTGCTTTGCGTTGCTTTGCGGGGCATTGCTTTTCATTGCGTTGTTGTTGTTTGCCGTGGTTTGGTTTGCTTTGCGCTGCCGTGCGTTGCATTGCTTCACGTTGCTTTGCAATAAGCTGCATCGCTTTGCAGTGCTTTTCTTTGCATTGCAGTACGTTGCATTGAATGTCATTGCTTTGCATTGCGTTGCATTGTTTGGATTGCTTCGCATTGCACTGCGTTGCTTTGCACTGCATTTCATTGCACTGCAGTGCTTTGCATTGGCTTGCATTGCTTGGCATTGCTTTGCATTGCTGTGCACCATATAGGTTGCACCTCATATATTGCACCATGTAATTTGCACCACCTACATCACACCACATTGATTGCAACACCTAGATCGAACAGCATAGATTGCCAGAAATCACTGTTCGGGGTCCCCGCCGGCTAACATCCGAAGTATCCCTCTGGATTTCTTTCGGATTCCTAGGGAGTCTGGATATCTATGGCGGTCCTCATCATCATTATCGTTGTCCTCCTCCTACCTGGTGTCGTCCTGGTCGTCGTTCTCGTCTTCGCCGTCGTCGTCTTCGTCGTCGCCGTTCTCGTCGTCGTCGTCTTCGTCGTCGTCATCGTCGTCGTCCTTTTCGTCGCTGTCGTTTTCGTCACCGTCATCGTGGTCGGCGTCCTCGTCGTCGCCGTCGTCCTCGCGGCCGGCGGGCACGCGCGCGCGCGCGTGCGGGCGAGCGGGCGGGCGTGCGGGCGCGCGGGCCGGCGGGCGTGCGCGCGTGCGGGCGCGCGGGCGGGCGGGTCGGTGGGCGGGCGGGCGGGCGCGCGCGCGGGAAGGCGGTTGGGCGGGCGCGCTTGGAGTAAATTCCCCAAACGGTGCTGGTCTGGCGGCTTTGTAGTCGCCGTCGCCGCCCCGACTGAGGCTCCCTGGAGGCCCCGAAGCCCCGAGGCCTGGTCAGGGCCCCCAGAGGCCGAAATCTGCCAAAAACCACCCGGAGCAATTTTTCTGGAGCGGCGGATCTTCGGGCTAGTCGCGGACCCCACGTACCCTACAGCCAGAGCCGTGGTACACCTGCCCCATCCCATGCAGAGGCCGCGCAGGCGGCCAGGCAGCCCCACCCTGGGGCCGGAAAGCGGCCAAGTCTGCCCAGAGCCAACCGATGCTGATTGCCCCTGTGCTTCTGGAGGGCCCGCGCTGGTTGTTCGATCGTGGGGCCCCTGTCTCTGATTGTGAGCCGTGAGGGACCAGCCACGCGCAGAAGGGGGTGGGGGGAGGGGGGAGGGCTTCTTAGAAGCAGCCTCCTTCGAAGAAGCCCCCCCCCTCCCTCCCCCCCCCCCCCCCTTCGTGCGCGCCGCCAAAGGGAAGCGGAATCCAGAGGAGACGGGGCCCTGAGAGAGTTTGCGCCGTTTCTTTTCTGGCTCTCGGGGCCCTCCACGGGCCAAGGGAGTGCCAGAAGGGAGGAGCGTGTGATCTCGAGGGGAGGCCCTGGGGCCCAGGGCCCGTTTCCCGTCGTCGTCGTCGTCGTCGTCGCCGTCGTCGTCGTCGTCGTCGTCGTCGTCGTCGTCGTCGTCCCCTCCCTCCTCCCTCCTCCCTCCTCTCTCTTCCCTCCTCCCTCCTCCCGCGGCCCTCAACACGCATCCTGAGTTCTTTCGCTTCAGCGATCGAGCCTCTGAGAAGCACCGCGCGGACCATCAAGGCCAGGATCACTGCTGAACTGAAAGGGGCCTCGGTCTGCAGCTGCGCACCGAAGCCGCTCGGATCAGCAGCCATGGCCTCCCAGGGTGGTGGCGCTCGGAGGCCAGATCGCCGAGCTGAGGCCATGCGGGCCCGCAGTCGAGCTCGGGGGGCTGGCAGGGCCCACCTCGAATCGATCGATCCGATTCGATATCACATTCACTCGATCGATCCGATTCGATGTTGAGTTCCCGGCGATTGGATGCAACACGATGTTTGCCCAGCGCAGTTGTGTATATTTGCGGAGCCGATCCGATTTGATTCCGACGACGGACCGACGCAGCCCGATCCGATGCTCGTTCCATTCTGATCGTATTTCCCGATTCGGTGCTCTCTCTCTCTCTCTCTCAGTCTCTTTTTCTCTCTCTCTCTCTCTCTCTCTTTCAGAAGACGAAGAAGAGCTTAAGCGGCATAAGACTACATATTCGCATAAGGTAAGCGCGGATTTCTGGGATCCGCGCTGGGCCCCCTTGAAGCGGCGCCTCTGGCGCCACCACCGGCGTGCTCCGCGCGCCAGGAGGGGGGTCCGGCTGAGATCCAGGAAGTCCGCTCGGACCTTTCCGGTTTGCGAGAATCGCAAGCTCCCAGACCCCCGACGTTGTGATTTTTTCGCAACGTCGACCCCCAGAGGTCGGGACCCCTTCCCGAGGCCGGGGAAGGGCCCTCGGAGGCCGAAAATAGCGAAACATTTCCCGTCGTAAGTGTTTCACAGCACGAGGAGGTCTGGGCTTCTAGGAGCCTTTCTTAGAACCACGGTCGCGCCTCGTGCCTTCTGGAGCCTGTTGTTTTCTAGGCTCTGGCAGCTTTACTTGCCATGGACGGGGGCAGAGCTGAGCCTGAAGCGTGAAGCAAGCGAGCCGCGAACGACTCGAGGCGCGAGAGTCGCGTAAGTCGAAGGGCGCGTGCACGCTCGTGCTCGATCGACGAGGGGCGAGGGGGAGGAGGGTCCGGAGGGGCGGCGAACGCCATGCAAGCAAGCCTGCCCGAGTCTAGTCAAGAGGGAAAGAAACGCACAGACACAGTTTAATCGTCGACTCCCAGGAAAGTATGGGAAACTATGGGAATCGGGGGGGAAGGCAGAAACCCAGAAAATAGGGGAAATCTATGGGGGATCCTGTTCTCTGTGTGCATTTATTTCTGTGTGTCCCAGGGCCCCTTCATCTGGAGCGAGGCAGGGGCCCCCGCGCCGCCGCGCGGGCACGGCTAAGGGGGGGCCCCCGGAGGAGGCGGGCGGCGCCCTCCCCGGAGAGCGGCCGGCGGCGCCTCGGCCTCTCCCGGAGGGCGCGGCAGCGCCGGGACCTTTTGCCGCGGCCCCACGACCGTCGGAGGAGGAGGGGCGAGCAGGAGGGGGGAGGAAGGGGAAGGAGGAAGGGGAAGAAGGAACGGGGCGGAGGGGCGAGGGAGGGGGAAGAAGGGGAAGGAGGAAGGGGAAGGAGGGAGGGGAAGGAGGGGCGAGGGGGGAGGGGAGGAGGAAGGGCGGGGGAGGGGGAAGCGGGAAGGGAGGGAGGGGCGACTGCGGAGGAGGGGCGGGCGGAGGAGGGGGAAGAGGAGGAGGGCGGAGGGGCGGGCGGAGGGAGGGCGCGCGCCTCTCCTCGCTGCTCCGCCTCGGCGCCTCCTCCCTGCCAGGGGGGGCCCAGCGTCTTCCCCGCGCACAGCCTGCGGAGCGCCAAGGCCCGGCCGGGGCGCCCGATGGGCGGGCTGCCCGCGCCCGCCCCCCGCGGCGCCCGGGGGGCGGCAGCCTCCGCCGCTCCCCCCGCCAGGAGACTCGTGGACGAGGGGCAAGCGTCAAGGGAGGCAAAGCCGGCCCGACCCCGAGAGTTGGCGTTAGCTGCTAGCCCAGGGGCCCAGGGCGTTGCCTGCAGAAGCGCCAAGAAGAAAAAGTGCAAGAAACAGAAACTCTTGGCGCACAGCGCGGATTTCTTGGATCCGCGCTGGACCCCCCCCCCTGGCGTCGCCCCTGGCGCGCTCCGCGCGCCAGGAAGGCGGGTCCAGCGCAGATCCAAGACATCCGCGCGGAGCGCCAAACGTTTATGATTACGGCGTTTGTTCCTCTCCTATAAACAGCCATTCCCTGTCCCATTCCTTTCTTGGGCGCGTTTGTGGAATGGCTTCCCTGGTCGGGGTGCTTCTTGTGAGGGTGGATTTGTTATGCTCCCTAAGACGTCTCGAGATCAACGGCCTCGCGGGCCGCGACCCCGCGGACTCGGGGCATGCTTCCGCTGATGCCCCCACGCGGAACGTGTCCGTGCGACCGCGCGTCCACGGGAGCGCGCCCGGGACTTCAGGCCGCGAGAGCGCGGATATGGTTCTGTCCGCCCCTCGCGACAGACATCCGACGTCTCCCTTCGTTCCATGCGGGGGCCCCACGGATCCCGGCCCGTTCCCTGTGCAGACGGCCCCAGAGCCCGAAAGACGGCCGCCAGGAACCCGAAGATCGATAAAGTTGTCCTTCTTGGTTTTTCGACGCGCTGGATATCTGAGATCCCCTCCTCCTCCTCCTCCTCCTCCTCCTCCTCCTCCTCCTCCTCCTCCTCCTCCTCCTCCTCTTTCGGGACACCCACCAATGGACGTGCGCTCTTTCGGGACACCCTGTCAGAGAGTCGGAGGAGGAGGAGGAGGAGGGATGGAAGGCCCTCTCAAGGGTCCCAGAGGTCCACCAGAGAAGCCCTCGGGTGCGTGTGCGCGTGTGCGTGCGCGTGCGCCTGTGCGTGCGTGCGTATGCGCGCGGGTGTGCGTGTGTGCGTGTGCGTGCGTGTGTGCATGTCTGTGTTGTGGCATTCCTGCAACCGCCGCGAGGCGACCGTGCTGCTGATCGACTCTGGCTCTTGCTCGGACGCGGAGGCCCTGGCCGACTCGTTCCGCGAGCACGGGTTGGGCCCGATCGTTGGGGTCAGGACTTGGTTGGAGGTTCAGAGAGGGGAGGGAAAGATGAGGGGTGGGGGGGGCAGACATGGATTTTCCTGAAGGGATGCGGAAGAGGGAGAGGGGGAAATTGGGGGACGGATAATGAGGAGGGAGGGTGGAAGGTGAGGGAAGGGGGGGAGGTGAGAGAGTCGAAGGAATAAGGAGAGGAGGAGGAGGAGGAGGAGGAGGAGGAGGAGGAGGAGGAGGAGGAGGAGGAGGAGGAGGAGGAGGAGGAGGAGGAGAGGAGGAGGAGGGAGGAGGAGGAGAGGAGGACCAGGAGGAGGAGAGCGAGGAGAGTGAGATGCTGAGGAGGAGCGGGAGGCGGGAAGAGAGAGAGGGAGGAAGGGAAAAGGGAGAGGCATAAGGAGGAGGGGGGGGGGAGGAGGCAGGGAGGAAGCAAATGAGGGAGGTGAAGGAGGGAGGCAGGGAGGGACATGAAGGAGGGAGGGTGGGAGCGAGGCGGAAGAGGAGGAGGACGATGACGAGGAGAAGAAGGCGGAGGAGGAGCACGAGGAGGAAGAGACGGAGAAGGAAGGGATGATGTTGAGGAGGGAGGAGGAGGAGGAGGAGGAGGAGGAGGAGGAGGAGGGGAGGAGGAGCACGGAGCAGGGATGAGGAGGAGGGTGGGGAAAAGGGGGGGGGGGAGAGAGGGAGGGAGGTAAGGAATGGAGGGAGGATAGGAGGAGGGCAAGCAGGGGGGCACAATATCAAAAAGGACGACGAAGGGATGAGGAGCAGGGCGGAGGAGGAGGAGGAGGAGGAGGAGGAGGAGAAAGAGAATGTGGGACGCGGGGGAGGAGGAGGAGGAGGAGGAGGAGGAGGAGGAGGAGGAGGAGGAGGAAGAGGAAGAGGACAGGCCAGGAGGTTGGAAACAGGAGGAATGCGAGTGGAGGGATCATGAGGCTGATGAAGAGCAAGCACGAAGGCGAAGGGAGTCGGACGGGGATCGAGGAGGGGAGTAAGCGTACCGTGGAGCTTCTTAGAATAGGGGGCCTCCTATGCTGCCATGAGGGCGTGGCTGAGGATTGCTCATTCGCCTCCTCAGCCTCATCCCCTTTTTTCCAGCCATCACCATCCTCATCATCATCTTCACATTAAGGTTCATCGTCATCTGCATCGTCACTATAGTTGATTGCAAGATCCTATCGGTAGTTATATCATTTGTGTATTGGCTCTACCGTCGAGGAACACATTGTCAATTTCATAGTGGTCTTCATATTCGTCGTCGTCGCCATCATCATCATCGTCGTCGTCGTGTTCAGCACCATTATCACCATCATCACCATCACCAGCATCATCATCATCATCAGCATCATCATCAGCATCATCATTACCATCTTTAGCATCAACCGCATCATCCTCATCATCATCATCAGCATCGTCATCATCAAAGGCCGCCGCGCGCTCAGGCCATTGATGGAGCAGCGGCCTCCAGTCACCGCCCCCTCGCCCTGCCCGAAAGGCAGGGGGCCTCTTGACGATACCCCGCATACCGCCATGCCGCCATGGACGTGCTCCGGAGCGCGGGCGCCGCGCACCTGCTAAGCACAGGACTCGCTCGCTGACATCAGGAACATGGACGAGCGCATGGCCCAAGCACCTGACCACCAGCCAGACGACGATGCCGATGCTGAAGTATTACGACACGCTGACCCTGAACTACGGGACGCTGAGCTTCAACAACAACATCCTCACGAAGACAGAGGGCCAGCACAGGCAAGACCACACCATGCGGCCCATGAGTTGCCACCAGTGGAACAATTGCACGCTGAACGTGACTTGCCACTTGGACTACTACCCCCACACCCACACTGCGAAGGACTACTGGACGCTGAGCATCAATCCCAACATCATCACGAACATACAGGGCCAGCACATGCAGGATTACGACACGCGGACCCTGAACGACTGGACGCTGAACGTCAATTCCAACATCTTCACGAACACAGAGGGCCAGTACGTGCGGGACTGGACGCTGAGCTACATCTCCATGAACACAGAGGGCCAGCACATGAAGGATTACGACACGCTGACCCCGAACTACTGGACGATGGACCACTACCTACACACCCAGCTCGCGAAGGACTACTGGACGCTGAGCGTCAATTCCAACTTTTTCACTGACATAGAGGGCCAGCACATGCAGGAGTACGACACGCTGACCCTGGACGACTGGACGATGAACTTCAATTTCAACGTCTTCACGAACACAGAGGGCCAGTACGTGCAGGACTACACCACGCTGCACCTGAACCGCCACCAGTGGAACAACTGCACGCTGGACTTGAATCGTCACCTGGACTTAAAGGTCGACATGAACGTGACCCTGGTGACGAGCGCCCTGATCATTAATTTCCAGTCCGGCGACCCACCCATTTCTCTTCAAGGCCCATCGAACTCACCATCATGCTCCTCGCCCTACAGCACCTGATGCGCACTGGTGTTCAAAGGGCAGGAATGGGACATGACACTGCAGATTATCAATACGCGGACCCGCTCGCTGAGCGAGTCTATCACCCCAGTCGACGGAAGCTCGAGATCGATCACGACGTCAGCGCCACCATCATCCAGACTTTCGACATCGGCAAAAAAGGAAAACGCCCCACTGGCAATGTGATTCAGGACATTCATGCATGCGTACGTTTATCTCACTGTTTCGACCATTTATGGCGATTGTATCTGAGGATAGGACTCATACAGAATGGAACTCAACACGCACAGAACATCGGTAAGCAGGGCACCCTGGCCTCACTGGGCATTCACGGGGCTACGAAGAAGGCCGAACGGAACATCAAGATCATGCAGTTAGACATTTACGACGAGCATGGCAAGCAGGTAGATGCCATCACGCAGGAGCACGAAAGCTACGAGCACATTAAGGACCCCCTCAGGAAGAGCGGCCCCCCAGAGGACAAGAAATGCCTGCAGGGGATAGGGTCGCCAGCTCCGTCCCGCGCGCTGACGGCCCTAGAAGGACTGTACAAGTGCGACGTGGGCGGCTCCATGAAGGGCGCCATCGAGGACATCGAGGCGGAGACGGAGATCAGCAAGGAAGATATCCCCGACGCCATCAACTTCGTGCGCCTGGAAAAGTGCTACGACCACGACAAGACGAAGCTGGTGATCGGCGCGTTGGGCGCGCCCATGTGGGAGGGCCAAATCCTGATCAGCCGCGCCCTCGAGGCCGAGGGCCAGGCGGTCCACCACCGAAACGTGGGCCCAGTGGGCTGGCTCGAGGAGGAGGCTAGAGACGCTCGAGCAGTGAACCCGTCTTTTTCTGCCAGAGCGAGCCTGCAGGCCACAATGCAGGCCGCAGCGGAGAGGAGGCGTTTCAACGCCGCGTCAATTTCGTTCGAGGCAAAGACCTCCCTGCCAGCAGCGGCACGGTCACGGCCGGCCACATGCCCTCCCTCCTCCGTCGTGCCTCCACTCCCCCCCTGCCGTGCCAGCACATCCAGAGGAGCAGTGTGAGGGGGAGGCCCCGCCTGAGCATGATACAACCGCCGAAGAAGAAGCGGCCGAATATCTCAGCTAGCATTTCGACGCTGCTTGCCACGCGCTGCGCAGGAGGCCCCTCCGAGCAGCCCCCTGGCAGTCTGGCCCAAGTGGGACAACGCGAGACAGTCGGCTCTCTGCGACGGATCACTTCAAATCTGGTTTCATTGTACACCATATTCTGATGGTCCTGACGTCGAGGAAAAATCGTCATCATCACGAGCTCCGAATCAATCTTCATATACGTACGCATGTTAATCGTAATCTTCTTCTCCGTCATCACCACCAGCAACAACAACATCATCGTCGCCATCATCATCGTCCTCTTCGTTCGACTGCCGTCGAGGAACACCTCTGCCGTTGAGGAACGCATCGTCATTTGTTGATCGACCCGGCCGTCGAGGAACACATCGTCATCCGCACATTGATCTTCATATTCGTCGTCGCTACCATCAGCATCGTCGTCGTCGTGATCACAACACTTACCATCATCACCATCATCATCATCATCATCAGCATCCTCATCATCATCATCATCGTAGTCAGCATCATTTGCATCATTGCATCGTCATCATCACGATCTTCGTATTCATCTTTGGATTCGTATGCATGGTCATCATACCCATCATCCTCATCATCACCATCAACATCATCAGCATCGTCGTCGTCATCATCATCGTCTTCATTAGCATCATCAGCATCATCGTCAGCATCAGCATTACCATTATCAGGATCATTCGCATCCACATCATCGTCATCATCATCGTCATCATGGTGCTCGTCCCTCCGCCTCCTTGTCTCCACGGTCTCACACCGTTTCACCCTAGCGCGCCGCTGCTGCCTGCTCATCGTGTCATCCCAGTCTGGGCACCCGATCACCACCGCTCACCTGAGTCCTGATCATTTCCCCGCCTCCTCCCTCACATTCTTCCTCTCTCCCCTCGTCCCTCTGATCGTCCTCCTTCGTTCTTCGCCCCCGTTGCTGGGTTTCGGGGCGGCATGGGAGGCCTCCTGGACTTCTGCGTTGGCATCATGGGGTCAAACATTGTAAGAAGCATCGGTCTTCAACCCTCCTTGCTCATATGTTGTGTTTTTGCTTCCTATGTCTCGATGTTGCCCTTCGTGGGGTCGGCCTGTTTTAGAATTGTACAATTGATCAGATGGCACTTGTTGGGGCATGTGGAGGGAAAACTTCCTTCCTCCTCCAACTCATCATCATGCCCTTTCTCCTCCTCCTCCTCCTCCTCCCCCTTCCTCCTCTTCCTCCTCCTTCTCCCCCTCGCTTTTCCTCGTTCCTCTCCCCCTCTCCCCGCCCTGGCGCAGGGGGACGGGGGAGAAGAGACGAGGAAGAAGAGAAGGATGAGGAGGAGAAGGAGGAGGATATGGAGGAGGGGGAGGAGGAGGAGAGATGAGGGAGAGGAGGAGGAGGAGGAGGAAGAGGAGGAGGAGGAGGAGAAGAAAGAAAGAAAAAAGGGAGAGGCGGCGAGTGAGGAGGAGACGCGCCACCCCAGTCCCCACGATGTAGGATAACGATCGAGGGACGATTCCAGTAATAGCTGCCTACCGCTGGGAAAGATCTCGAGGAGGGCGGTCACACAGTCTGAACGACGACGGCAACGCCCAAGAGCAGGCATGGAACCAAATGTGCGAATCGTCACCCGAGGCGCTGCTGCGTGACGTGACCCCCCCCGCATCCTTCACCAATTTGCGTTTACGAAGCGGCTCTGGGCGTTTACTCCCTAGTTCTGCCCTGTTCGGTTCTTCCTTCAGCTGCGCTTTCGAAAACAGGGCTTCGCTGATTTAGGGGTGCTGAGCATGTTGATGCTTTTGCGCTCCAGCGAGAAAGGAGGGAAGAGGGGGGTTATGCCCCCACCCCCAGTCCAGTCAAGGCCGTGCACTCACTCAGGCCAGCTCTTCCCGAATCCCCCCTACAGCTCACCCGGCCGCGAGCCCTAGCCTGGCGAACCCCCATGCGACAGCGAAGGCGAGCCGTCCGGCGAGCCCGAACTTCCGCGTCCCTTGGAGAGGTTCGTGTACAGTGTGCTTTGTGCTTCCTGGAGCGTCCTCATCTCCACGTCCAGATTCCCCCCGGAAGTCTGGTCGGACTGCACCCCTGGACAGGTCCAGGGGTCGACTTTGAGAGGGAAATTGGCCTGCTCATCCTCCGTCTCCTCCTCTTCTTCCTTCCCCCCCTCCTCCCTCCTCCTCTCCTCCTCCTCCTCCTCCTCCTCCTCCTCCTCCTCCACCTCCTCCCCCTCCTCCTCGTACTCCTCCTCCGCGCACTCCTCCTCATCCTCCTCCTCCTCCTCCTCCTCCTCCTCCTCCTCCTCATCCTCCTCGGTTTCCTCCTTGTGGAGGTGGGCTTCCTTGAGATACGCAGGGGCCGGCCCTCTCGAAGAGCCCACTCCCTGCCCTCTCAGCAGGCCGCCCCCCTCGCACTGCCACTCGGCCCTGCGTGGCGCCAAGCGGAGCCATACCGAAGGACCTGGGGAGGCGTCCTGTCGGTGGGCGAGCTGGACATCTCGGGCGGCGCCCACGGGGGTCACCACTGCGGGGGTCACCATGTCCTCTCGGAGATCGACCTGTTGATTACCAAACGCTTCAACACTCCTTGTTTCTTGCCCCTGGACCGGTCTCTCCTCTTCTCGACCCGCGTCTCGCCCGCTTTTCCTCATCCCTTCTAGAGAAAAAATCAAACACTTCTGGGATCGAGATCCTGGGATCTGCAGGAGAGTCGCTTCATCAATGCTTCTGGATGGCACCGTGAAGGAGCTCAGGTTAGGTTGATGGAGCGCGCGGCCACGGCCGCTCCGCGCAGGCCGCTGGCCGGCCGGCCCGCCCCCTTGCCAGGGACGACCCGCGCGTCTTCGCTCGCTCGCTCTTGGAAATCGAACATCGAGGTGGGGGGATGGCCGGGGATCGAGGAGGCTCGAGGGCTCGTCTGGGGCTCCGGGGGGGCTCTGGGGAGTCCATGATGAGGGGGGTCCGTTTCTGGGAGGGCCCCCCCTCCTCCAAGACGCCGCCTGCTCGTGTGTGGCGTCGGCCGCCCCCTCCTCCCCGCCCTCGTTCTCGCTCCTGCCGCCGGAGGCCATTCGCGATGCCGGGGCCCAACTTGCGCGAGAACGCGCGTGCGGGACTGCCTCTGCCGCGCTGCGGCGCAGCAGTCTTTGTGGCGTCGGCCCCCCGAGAGTTCGACACTTTCCCCGGGGCCAGTTGTCATTCGTTTAGAAGCCGGTTTTGTTCTACATTGTGGCAAGTTTACTTGCATGGACGGAGGGGTGGGCCTGAACCTGAAGCGGGCCGCAAACGACTTGACGTGCGGAAGCCTCGCAAGTCGGAAGACACTTGCACGCCCGTGTTCGATTGAAGAGGGGCGAGGGGTGGGGTGGGGGAGAACGCCATGCAAGTAAATCTGCCCGAATCTAAAGAAAAACAGGCTCTTGTTCACGATCCTGGGGCGGGGAGACGGCCTCCAGAGCCGAAAGCTGCGGACAGTTGGTCGTGAGGAGTGGTGCACGTCGCCCGCATCAGAGGGGAGGCGGCGCCCCCCTTGGGTGATTGTCCCCGGTGCCCGCGGATGGCGCCGAGAGGCCGATCCACGCCACCGAAGCCTCAGCCTGACGAAGGAGCCAACCCTATCCGAACGAAAAGCAACGATAAGCGGGGCGGCTCGATGCACAAGACTCTCGGCCTCCTGGATGGGGTCGGAGTAGATGGGGTCTGAGGATCGCGCCGCATCGCCGATGCATCGGAGATGCATATGCGATGCGACTCGATGTGGGGCACGATGTTCCCCACGCCGACGTCGCCGATGCACCGCTGACGTCGCCGCTGCATCGCCGATGCATCGGCGATGCGGCGCCATCCTCCGACCCCATCTATTCTGACCCCATCTAGGAGGCTTCTACTCATCCTGGCGAAGAAGCCAAGCCTATCTGAACAGAAGGCAATTGCAAACGGGGCGGCTCAATGCACAAGGCCATGATGAAGGATCTGCAATATAATATAGCCCAAACACGGTCAGACCGCGCACGAAAGTCCCCAAGTTACGCATGCTCCCTCACGCGTCGATTCGCCATGGGGGCCGTAGGCGGAGCTTCCTGGAGGCAGAAAACGCATGAGTGCTGTGCCGAAATATGCCAGGGACGCCATGTGGGCACCCCCACTGCGGCCATAGATGGAGCTCCTTGAGAGGCAGGGGGCGTGTGAGGGGGTGCCGAATTGTGTGCGGGGACGCCATGTCATGTGGACCCTCCCACTGGGGCCATAGGTCGAGCTTGACAGGGGGGCAGGAAACGTGTGAGGGGTGTGCCGAAATGGGCGCGGGGACGCCAAGTGGACACACCCGCTGGGGCCACGGGTCGAGCCCCCTGCGAGGCAGGAAACGCGCGAGCAGTGTGACGGAGTGTGCGCGAGGACGCCATGTGGACACACCCGCTGGAGCCATATGTCGAGTTGCATGCAGAGCAGGAAACGCGTGAGGGGTGTGACGAAGTGAGCGCGGGGGCGCCATGTGGACACACCCGCTGGGGCCATAGGCGGAGCTGCCTGGCTGGGGGGCAGGAAACCCGTGTGGGGTGTACAGATCTGCACGCGAAGACGCCACGTGGACCCTCCCACTGGGGGCCGCAGACGAAGCTCCCTGGGAGGCAGGGAACGTGTGAGGGGTGTGCAGGCATGCGCGCGAAGACGCCATAGGAAAACCCTCCCACTGGGGCCATCGTCGGAGCTCCCTGGGAGGCAGGAAACGTGCGAGGCGTGCGTCGGACCTGGGCGCGGGGACGCCACATGGGCACCCCTACTCTGGCCGCGGGCGGAGCATCCTGGGGGGGCAGGAAACCTGTGAGGGGTACGTCGGAATGGGCGCGGGGATGCCATGCGGACCCCCCCCCCACAGGGCCATAGGTGGAGTTCCCTGGGGAAGGGGATACGTGCGAGGGGTGTGGTGACGTCTGCGCGGGGGCGCCTATGTGGACACACCTGCTGGGGCCCTGGGTGGAGCTTCCTCTGGAGCACGAGATGCGCGAGGGGTGTTTCGTCGGAACGGCTGAGGCAAAATCAGCAGAAGCGGCAGCGATGGGGTGAGGAAAGAGGGGAATGAGGAGGAGGAGGAGGAGGAGGAGGAGGACGAGGACGAGGACGAGGACGAGGAGGAGGAAGGGGAGGAGGAGGAGGAAGGAAGGAAGGAAGGAAGGAAGGAAGGAAGGAAGGGAGGAGACGCGCGGCGCTGCGGATTCAAGACGAGGACCCCGCACGGGAGGCTTTGGGAAGCGCGTGCCGCCGCCACGTTTGTCCACGGCGCGAGGGGTCCACTGGGCCCCCCGTGGTGACCCCCCTTGGCCTGGCCTGGACAATCGAGCTGGTGGACGGGGGCTCCGTCAGCATACCCAGCGACAACATGTTCTCCCTCGCCGGGGGCGCCTTCGCGCTGGAGAACCGGGGCGTGGCGCCGGACATCGAGGCAGGCCACCGCCGGAGGAGGCGGAGGAGGAGGAGGAGGAGGAGGAGCAGGAGCAAAAGGAGGAGGAGGAGCAAAAGAAGGAGGAGGAGGAGCAAGAGGAGGAAGAGGAGGAAGAGGAGGAGGAGGAGGAGGAGGGCCAGTGTAGACCCAAGAGTCATCAACGATGTCGGAATCAGCCCTCCCTCCAAGCTCCCTCTTCGTAGGCCCCGTGCGACGGTTCATTCATTGCCATTGAGGGAACTGGATCATTGGAGAACAACGGGTTCAAGATCCTGAAGCATGCCAAAACATTGCTTTCGGGATTCCAGCGCCACGGATCAACCTGACTGCTGCGTCTTGACGATCCTGAATCGCGCCAGAACGCCATTCCTGGGACTTGAACACCGCGAATCAGCGTAACTGTTGTACCCTCACAATCCAGAGTCCTGCCACAACACTATTTCTGGTACGCTGGTCATGGGAGTCCGTAGAGCTCTTGCAAATGACCGCTCTCAATCCGTAAAGCTCTTGCACAGTTTTTACCAGGAGTGCACACAGCGCTAAGTCGAGAACCACATTTTGAGAACGACCCGCCCTCAATACGGGAAGCTCTTGCAGTTGTTGAAAACGAATGTACGCGGCGCTAATGCGATAGCCACATGTTGAAAACGATCCGCCCCCTCAATCTGTGAAACTCTTGCATTGTTTAACGAATGTGCGCGGCGCGAAGGCGAGAGCCACAGCTTGAAAACCACCCGCCCTCAATCCGTGCAACTCTTACACTTGTTTCGACCGAATGTGCGCGGCGCTGGGGCGAGAGCTACATTTTGAAAACGGCCCGCCCTCCATCTGTGAAACTATTGACAATGTGAAGTCTCAAGCGGAACGCCCTGCCCGCCCTAGAAACTGGCCTCGGGGTGCGACAGGGAGTAGTTATGAATATGGAAAATAATGGAGAAGGAGGAGGAGAAGGAGGAGGAGGAGGAGGAGGTCCTGAGGGGCCTGTCTCCGAAGCGAGAGGTTCCGGCCCGTAGTGGTGGCTCGGCATTGGTTGGGCTCTCCCCTCCCCCACCGCGAGTCCCCCCGGCGCCGAGAGTCTGCTCGCCTGCACTGGCAGAGCTTAGCTGCTTCGCTTGATACGTCCGTTTTGAAACGCAACGCGTACCGTGCCTAAAAATTCCGTGTCAATACGTTGCGTGTTGGCTTAGCGTGTTGGCCCACGCTTTGGTGAACGTATCGCGTCAGACCGACGTTTTCAGTCTGTGTGTTGAGCTCCGTATCGATACACTACGTGCTGCGTGTGGCGTATCGGGGCAGCTGAGTGCCAGAGTGCCGAAGAGCCCCCAGCGTTGAAGTCGGTTGGGGTCCGAGGTGGTCCAGCATTTCCCGCGAGCAGGAGGGGGGACAGGTTCGAAGTCAGGGGATCGACCAGATTTTGTATTAGTATTACCAGCCTCTGGGGCCAGTCTCGGGCCCCATGGAGGACCGTCAAAATCGGATCTGGGATGAAAAACGACACCGGGTGGACCCTGGTGTTGAGCGGATTCGGCCTCGTCCCCCCCCGCTTGATCGATTTCCCAGTGCCCCACCCAGCTCAGACCCCTCCGCCGCTTCCAACGCTGGCGCCACATGCCCCAGCGCTTCCGAGCTGAAGTCGGGCATGTCCCTCTACAGGAGGAATACTCGAGAACGGTTCGAAAATGGTCGGGGGACGATCCGTCGTGCTCCTTCTGGACTGTTTCCGAGCTTCTGCTGGCTGCTTCTCCTTGTTGTTCCTCCAATACCGCCTCTAGGAGGACGTGCCCGGCCTAATCCTAGCGCCGCCGCCGCCGCGGCAGGTGGACATACCCCCGGACTGGGCCCCCGCCGGCGGCACGCCTGGAGCCCTGGACCCGCAGCTCGGGCGCGCCGTCTCGGAGGCGGAGGCGCTGCTGCGCCAGCGGGCCGCCGCCGTCGCCGCCGCGGCCGCGGCGGAGCGGGCGTGCCCGCCACGGGCGCGCGCGCACTTGCGCTGGCGGCTGGCCGAGTGACGCGGCGGAAGATGCTGCCGGGAGCTGGCCGGGTGACGGCGAGGACGGCGACGAGCAAGGCGACGAGGGCAGCAGCAAGGACGACGACGAGGAGGACAACAAGGAGGAGGAGGAGGAGGAGGAGGAGGAGGAAGAGGGCGACGACGACGAGGACAACCACGGGGGCGACGGCGAGGACGACGAGGAGGAGGACGACGAGGAGGCCGACGACGAGCACAAAGATGACAACCACGACGACGGCGTCGACGTTGGGATGGCGTGTCGCTCCGCCGGCTCTGGCCCCCCACGTTTCGGCGCGAAGCGCGATCCACTCCGCGGTCCCCAGGCGTCAACGTCCCGAGCTCACCCGAGCCTCCCGTCCCGCGAGGCGAAGCGACACGAGCTCCACTCGTAAGGCATGTAGGGTGGCGTCGGGGCCGCCGCCGCG